GCACAATTAACTTCCGAACTTCGAGGGCCAGTATTTCACTGGGTTAGCTACATTGACTCCTTGCGACCTTGCTGCGGTACGAGAAGTGCAAAAACGCATAATCGCACCGGCCCGCCTGGTGCGTTCCAGCCTGGGTTCCTTTCTAGAGCATCTGATAGGAATTCTAATTAGCTCAACCTTATCGGAAAACCCAAGTAATAAGGCGCACCAGAGTTTCTGATGCGGTCGTGTTTTGTACTAAACTTGAAGCAGTCAGACCGTTAACAGTATGAATGGTTGTTGCTTTACAGCTTAACATGTGTATTCGTGTTGGCAATGTTTTGGTCTTTGCCTACATGCAGGGAAAAAGAGCGTTGACTCGGATCCCGTGAAATCTTGTTCTCCAGTATGCATGACTGCCGTAAATTTCCGTAACGAGGGGAATGGAAAATTTTGCTGTCATTGGTCATTTACTCAGAAATGCAAATTGAACAATGAGTAGGATGTTGAGAGAGAAGGATGATGAAATTCGAACAAAATGCACTAATTTTTGAGGTTCAAATAGAACTGAACATTTTTTGTGTTCTTATGCATGGACTTTAGCCTCGAAGCTGAATTTTAGACCACACATGGATGTAGATGTCTCTATAAAATTCCAGCTTCGCAACTTGTCCAGCGTCCAAGGTCGCCACTTCGCTACAAATGCCTTTGATGTTCGCTAAGGCGTGGCGCAAGTGCAATTCGAAGCTTAACAAATATTCTGGCAAAACTACAGCTATCGTTTTCCGGCTGGTTTTCGAGTGATGCGGTGCCAACTGACAACTGACGTGACTGTATGCGTGATGTAGGCGTGAGAGACAACTGATTTTAAAACTTTTAGCTCACATATGGGCACAGAATGCCCTTGCAAAGGTTCAGCTTCATATGTTGGCCATTTTCAGAAATCATTTCTCAACAAAAAGTTCGCATTTTTATGCGTTTTGTGCTGTGTAACAGCAGCACAAAGCGCATATTGTCACGGAACTGTTTGTGTGTGCGTTTGTATGTGTGTCCCACATTTTGTCACGCACTTTCAACTCGGGAACCACAAAAGCTGGGCAGCTGAAGTTTTAGTATGGTGTTCCCCGCCAACGCGGCAAATTTAAATTCAGCCATCCCGTTTCCGCTGGTAACACGTACGGCCCCGTAAAAGTTTTGGCGGATAAAATCTGTATCTCGGGAACCACGAAAGCTAGAAAGCTGAAATTTTGTGGGTATGTTCCCTGCTCACGTGCTATCCAGATAACTTAAATCCAGCTTTCCCGTACCCGCGGGTAACAATTGCGGTCCCGTAAAAGTTTCGGCAGGTAAAATCATTATCTTGTAAACCAGGGAAACTAGGGAACAAAAATTCTGTGGGGTATGTCCCCTGCCCGGACCCAAAAAATTTAATTCAACCTTCCCTTGTCCGCGATTAGCACGTACGGCCTCGTGAAATTTTTGACGGGTAAAATTATTAGCTCGGGAATCACGGAAGCTAGGGAGCTGAAATTTTATGGGTATGTCCCCTGGCAACGTGCGACTCAGAAAACTCAAATTCAATCTTCCTGTACCCGCGGGTAACACGTACGGCCCTGTGAAATTTCTGGCGGGTAAAATTATTGTCTCGAGAACCGCGGAAGCTAGGAAGCTGAAATTTTAGTGTAATGACCCTCGCCCAAGTACGGCCTCGCAAATTCAGTGCTCCCACGCTTTCGGGTATCACCTACCTCCCTTTGAAACTTTTCGCGGGTAAATTATCTCGGGAGCCACGGAAGCTAGGAAGCTGAAATTTCATGTGATATATCCCCCGCCCACGTTAAACCCAGCCTTCCTGTACCCGCGGGTAACACATGCGGCCCTGTAAAAGTTTCGGCAAGTAAAATCATCTTATAAACCAGGGAAACTAGGAAACAAAAATTTTGTGGGGTATGTCCCCTCCCACATAGGACCCAAAAAAATTTGAATTCAACCTTCCCTTGCCCGCAGGTAGCACGTATGGCTCTGTATAAGTTTTGATGGGTGAAATCATTATCTCAGAAACCGCGGAGGCTGGGGAGCTGAAATGTTACGGGTATGCCTCTTCACCACGTGCAACCCAGAAAATTTAAATTCAGTTTTCCCGTGCGTTTGGGTATCGCGTACGGCCCGTGAAAATTCTGGTGGGGAATTATCTCGGGAACCATGAAAGCTAGGAAACTGAGATTTCATGACGATATTTTTTGCCGTTGCAGATATCTCACAAACGCAAATTTAGCCTCAAATTATGCAGAGGTCTTAGTAAGGCCACGTGAGAATTTTGATGTGAAAATTTCTAGCTCGGAAGCCGGAAAACTAGAAGGTTGAAATTTGGAAGGATGTTCCTCATTTATTTTTTCAAATTCAGCTTTCACGTACCGGCACGTGAAGTTTTCAGTGAGAAATTCCTCACCTTAGGAGCCAGATAGCATATCTACTATTTTTCTGTATACGAAAGTGTAAAACAGTTATATTTTTAGTAAGCAAACGTTCGCTGGACGAAACTGCGCAAAACGCATGATCGCATCGGCTACCCTGGTGCGCTTTGCTGTTTGTTTAGACTTCCGTGCGTGAAACCTAGCCATGCCTGAAAGTTGATTTTAAAGCGGGAGAGCGACATACGAGGTGTAAATATGCTCCTGTGATTGCAGCTTCTCAGCTTTTCCGGTTGCTGAGTTGAAAGTGAGTGACTAAATTCACGCACCGCCGAACAAACAAATTCTTGACAGTATGCGTTCTTGGTTTTGCATAAGTATGCAAAAACATGCAAAAACTCAGCTACAAACGTTATTAACATGTCCTCAGTATTCCCATTAACATATCCTTAGCCTTAATATTCTTATTTTCTGAAGAAGTCTGTTTGCTTTGTAAATCATTTAATTAAAAGATAATTCAATAGTTTTTATGCGTTTTTGCATATATGCAAATGCGAAAACGCATATTGCGATGACCCCGCTGTGCGTGCGTGTGTGTGTGCGTGCGTGTGTGTGCGTACGCGTGCGTGTGTGTGTGTCTGTCCTGGTATTTCAACTCGGCACTCAAGCAAGCTCCGGCTCCAAAATCTTGCGAGTGGGTTCCCCGGCCAAGTGCCACCCCAGGGACGGCGGTACCAATCCTTACGCACGTCTAGGCCTCGCGTACGAGCGCCTCAAAGTTTTGGCGGGAAAATCGCTAACTTGGGAAACAGAAAAGCTAGAAAGCTGAAATTTGGGATTATGTCTCCCGTCCATATAGAACTCAAAGATTTTAATTTCAGCCCCCATGTGCGCGCGTGTGCGCGTTCCTCGCGTACGGCCCTGTAAGGGTTCCTGGCGCGAAAATCGCTAGCTCGGGAACCAAGAAAGCTGGGAGGCTGAAACTTTCATTGAATGTTCCCAGCTCATCTACAGCTTAAATCTATGAAATTCACTCCCCAGTTATGCGTGGTTATCACATGCGGCCCTGTCGAAATTTTTGGCGGGAAAATGGCTAACCCCGGGACCAGGGAAGCTGGGAGGCTGGAACTTTCAGGAAATGTTCCCAACTCATCTACAACTTAAATAAATCCAGCCCTCAGTCATGCGTGGTTGCCACGTACAGCCCCGTGAAATTTCCTGGCTGGAATTTGGTTAACTCGGGAACTGGGAAAGCTGGGAACCTGGGATTTCAAGGGAATGTTCCCTGTCCAAGTATAGCGCGGACAATTAACTGCCCGAAATTCGAGGATCAGTGTGTCAGAGGTTTCTAGTTACCGGAATTTCGAGTGGTCTTATTGCAGCACGAGACAGTGCAAAAACGCATGATCGCACGGGCCCGCCCAGTGCGTGTCGTCAATGATTGTTAATTTATAACATTCAGACTTTTAGATTCGGGCTTATGCTGATTTGACTTTGCATGGCAAAGAAAATGCCGTTAATCATCTGAAGGCGTTCAACCCAGAATCGTAAGTTTCTTACTGGAAGTTCTTTGAGTATTTTAGAAGTGCTGTGGGATGTTCTTATTCACACTGGTAAAAAAAACAAAGTGGTATCTTATGGGTTGCAGCGTGTTTTTCGACATTTTCACGTGAACAGAATTCTTTCACTATTTCAACTTATGGCAAGGCGTTTAGTTGTTTAAAGCTTACCCGCGTTTTAATCACTAACAGAACACAAAAATGAGCCAGTCACGTTTTTTTCGGACTGAATACTACGCATGGTTATGGGCATCTCTCCGCTTCTTGTTGTGATTTCCGATCGTACGCCCACTTTTCTTGTCCCATTTATATTCTTCTTTTGTAAATACTGCAAGTTTCAGGTTGTTTCCAGCTGAGGGGATGGAATTTAGTACGCTTTGGGCGCGGGCTGTTGAATTGGACTGTGATGATTGGGTTATGCAGTTCCGGGATTATCCGTTGCCGTATGTGATGTTGAAAGATGCGCATTTTTGGGGGCTTCTGGTTGGAAGCGAACATCTTGGTGGTATACCTTTTAATTTTGCATATTTTTGTGCTTCTTTTATTGGCAAAATCGCCCGAATCCTTAGTTTCAAGTGCAAGAATTACAAGTGCCCCTTCATTCTATCTTAGGTCCGTACTCAGTCCATCTTATGGGCCACCTTTCGAATAGTTTTCTTTTTTATGAGTCCCATTGACTGGTATGCTGTGTCCATCAGTTATCTGCTGATGAAGCAATGTGTTTTGCCTGCTGGTTTTATATTCCTTTCATTGACGATATCTTGCGCACCCCTTTTTTTTAGTAAAATGTCATTACTTTTGTTGTTATTAGTTTTGTTGTTATTGCTGCCACCACAATTTGATGGCAGTAAGCAAGGCTCAGTGACAAGTAGTACTATCTTGGTTCGACTACACTAGGGTACAGCCAGTCTCTCTACGATTTTTTCGTTCAACGCTGACACGTGCCATTGGATCACGTGGTAAATTAATGCTTCATCATGTCATGGAGTTAAAACCATCATCAGCTTACTTCTGCCCTACTCCCAAAGAAAAAGCCATCAACAGCTTTACCAGGAGGTAGTTGCTGTTCGCCTGACTACTTTCATCTACCGCCGCGTTCTGCGCAGAGTGAACCTACTGTCGTCTTTTCAATGTTTTTGTGGCGAATCAAATAAGTTTCTTAATTTCAAATTTGGAAATTCATCTTTCTGCATAAGGATTCTCTGTTTTGGTAGTTGAAAGTTGCTCCAGAATTTTGGCTGTTTAAATTGCATCGCTGATATTCTGTTTTATGTTTCAGGGCCGCGATCAGTTCGAAGTTGTAAAGTAACCTTGCCTGAACCCTGGGGTACATACATCGTTGAAAGGAATATGTGTCCATTGAAATACTTCTACGATCTTTCATGTGGTTTGTCATTTTCGTTAAAATTCTTCAGAAAAATTTGTCATAATGTATAGGTTTATCACTGCGGTTGGCTGTAACTTAAAGCGTGTTTTTTAACAGAAATCGAGGAATTGAACTGCACATATGGGCCGTGTTGGGAGCCATGCTTGTCGATGATTAGCCTCTGCTGGAAAAACATCAGCGCCCCGTCAAGGCTCGTCTCTTTTATCATTGTTATTTTCGCCATATTTTAGTTTCTGGACATTCTGCCTGGAGGGAAACAGAGAAGGGGAGGAGGGGAGACGAAAGCGAGTGAGTAGTAAATGGCCTCAGATACATTTATAGGTTATTAGCCATCATTTACGAAAGCACTTAAAGATGCCAATATACTCTTACAACTCTTTAGAGATCCCAGTCCGCCGCTGCCGTTTTGGGATAAAATACGACTTCTTTTTCATGGCCGGTTTTCATTGCTGTGTCAAAATTTGGTAACATCAATGCTTGCATCTACGGATCCGTATAATTCTACCGAACTTGTCGAAATTTGCTGGAAAGGATTTGGTTTCGATTGGCATACAGGTGGGCATATTTTTCATTTGGTTTTTATCCTTAACTGCTTTACAGGTGTCATTATAAATAATTAATCGATTTTGAAAATCATTCCATTTTCCTTCAGAAGCAGATTTAGGAGGTAAACCGCTTCTCCGTTCAGCTAGCTTTGTCACTAAAGCGAGATATTAAAAAGGTGGCCAAATGGCCAAATTGTTGTTTATTGGACATTAATTGATGGACAATGCGTTCCGAGTTATGGCCGGAAGTTTCCACATGGCGGTCGTTTTATATAAAGAGCCAAAATTGTTATTTGCTGCTTATGATCGATTCAGTAACGATGTAGCTGTTGTAAACTCCAAGAAATGAAGGCACGATTTGCTGTGACGCGTATAACTGTGTAGTTTTCGGAGGAGGAGGTTTTGAGCTGAATTGTTTTGTAGAGAGTAGTCTTGGGTTGAATCGGAGGAAGGTTCACCTGTGTTACAGTGTTTTGCTGCGTTATGTTGAATTGGTTGAAGTTTTCCTCCGGAATCTGCAGAAGTGTTTTTTGGGATGATAAGAACTGCTTTGGGTCGTTCTGTTCACCACCAACTAACAATACTTGACAGTTTTTTTTTAGTTTAGCCTCAGCTTCTTAACATTAAATTAATTACTGTTTTGAGCAGTGCATTACCTGCTTTTGAAGATATATTAAATTTTTGTTGAGTCATGAAACTTGCACTTCAGGAATGTAAACTTTTCTCCAAAAAAAGCAAAATTTGGTCGTTGAGATTCATAG